TGAAAGAGTTAAAAGATCACACACAGCAGCTGTGACATACTAACTAGTGAGGAGCATTCCAGTTACCCCAGCTAAAAGTCCCTGTTGCTACATGACCCAAGGCTGTATCAGAAGGATCTGCTACCACAGGCCTACGTGATGGAGGAGTTAGCCTCCAATTTCCTGAGCAGGTGTCTCCTGGTGTGTACAGCCAGTGCCTTCACTAGTGCCTCAGGGAGGTGAAGACCCCCAGCTTAAGCCTGTAGCCTTTCCCTGGTTCTGTAGATTTGCTGGCAGCCAACCTGCTGTAAACTTACCTTGCAAACTATCATGAACATGGTGAAAAAGAAGATGAGGTTGGCTTCAGAGATGGGGAGCCAGTGAGTCTGTTGCAGAGTGAAGAGGACCGTGCCATACAGACTAGCCTTTGTTGGGCTAGAAGAGAAACAAAACAGTTTTCTAGGTTTGCATCCAGTCCTTAAGGGTTCCTTAAATTCATCTTTCAGTCTGACAGAGACTTTACAGGCTGGCTACTTACAAGGACATGTGAAGAATTTCATTTGTTTCAGGCTTCCAGACCCCACGAAGCAGTTGCTCAAAGTTAGACATCAAGGCAACACCAGAACCTGTGAAACAGCCAAAGTGAACAGCTACAAGTGCCACACCAGAAGAGAGCTCTGCTGCCTTTGCTGGCTCCCAAGGGCTAAGGACAAGCTATGGGGAACACAAGGTTGGGACATACATTGTGCCCAAATTTAAAAGAACTTGGCCTAAAACAACAGAGCAGGGCAAACACTGTTTAGACTGTCTAAAAAGTGCAGGGGAAAGGGCATTGGCCTCTGTTCCATGTAGTGATGCTCAGATGCTTGCTCCAAACAAAAGCTAAAGGAAACCAACTGGGCTTTTTCAACACCGATAGAACCCCCCACCTTGAGAAGATACAGCCAGGGCCAGAGATAGAAGAACACAGGGGAGAGAAGAAAGAATTCCTGAATTCCACACCCATATTTCAGTGATTCCCATTCCTCATGCCTCCATTAAAGGCAGGTGATGACTCAGCTGCCATCAGCTGCAGGTCTGACTAAACCCCTGTGCTGTAGGGGCCCTGGCTGGCTGAAGCCAGCTCACCACATCCACCAGCCGGCCCGCTGGTCAGCACTGGGGATGTGGTCACCTGGAGCTCCACTCACAGGTCCTCCCGTCCCTCCCCACGGGGCTGGGTGCCTCCCTGCCCCAGGAGGAGCATCCCCTGTGTCACCTTTGACCCATCCTGTAGCCATCATAACGAACCACCCGTGGTGATAAAGGTGGTGAGCGTGGTGCACCCCGGCTGCAATTTTGCGCACTCTGACCACCTCCTTCATGGCCACGAAGATGAGCTTCACAGGCAGAAAGCTGACACACTTGTAGAAGATGTTCATGGGGCAGAAGAATATCAGATACCTGGGTAAAAAACACAAAGGAGTTTAAGAACCTGTTTTGTGTTGATCTGGGGTGTGCAGAGGACTGGGTAAGAGTACTGATGTTAGCCCAAGGCACATCAGAAGGAAATGCTGGTTCTGTCACACGTGGCCCACGCAACTGAGGCAATGAAATGGGGAGTAGCTGTGGTTAATCTGTGCAGATTTCACTGCCATGGTGACTGGGAGGATAAAATGGAACGTTCAGCATGTGCTGCTGCTCTGCTCCATGTGGCACGGGCGCAGCTCAGGCTGCTCTGGCGGTTTGGCCGCAGTCCAGCCCCAGCAGCTGTGAACAGAAACACCCAGTGACTGGCCTGAACCCAGCCTGCACAGCCACAGCCTTGGGCAGCTGCTCGGGGAAACTGGGAACTAGATCCAGGAATACAACAGACTCCAAGACTACCTCACCCCACCTCTTCTTCCCCCAGTTAATCCAGGCACTATCGCAGGGGGTGGCACACCAGCAGAACACCTCCCTCCAGACCTCATGGCCTTGTACACAGCCACGGCCTCTCCAGCTTAGTCAGCCAGGTGAGAGACTCACCAGACTGCTGTGGCCAGGACGACACTGGAGTTATTGCTGAAGTAATCAATAGGTGGTTCTCCCAGTAACAGAGCAGCGAGTATGTAGCTCCCAAAGCAGTGCAGCATGGCACAGAGCCAGGAGGCGTCAGCTCCACAGCTCCTGTGGAGAACATTCTAGGTGAGAAGACGGATCCAGCAAGTAAGCAGAAACTTCAAGACCCTCTAAGAAAGAGGCTTGTGTGTGTTCTCCAACAAAAGTCAGTCAAAAGGAGAGTGCTCATAAAATAAAACACAAAAACGTGCATTCTGTGAAACCTGCACAGGGACCAGATATTGTCCAGAAATGAGGAGTGTGATCATAGCTGGCAGGCCCCCCATGAGGTTTCAGATGAACCCAGTGATTAGAAGTTTATGAATTGGCAAAGAGTTTATCTCCTGTGTTTGCTGCTACTTACTGCAATCAAAAAGAACAATTTGTCCCTTGAAATCAATGTCTTTTTATAATCTAAAAATAAAATGCATACTAGTACCATTCTCTCCATTGCTTCAACCTAGGTGCCCTCTAGAATTCATGAACAATCTGTTCAGCTCTTTCATTCATAAGATAACCTGTAAAAATAGAACAGTAATTCTTAATCTTTATTTGAAAGAAGGTGATCTGAGGATTCTTCCCTGCTCCTGTACTAGTTTGGAAACACCCTCTGAAAATACAGGTAGGTCTCAGAACAATATTACTACCTGGTAATACACTATGGTCTCCCCACACAAGCTTCTATTGCCTTTTATTTTATTCCTCTGCCCATTTTCATCCACCTCTGTACTTCTTCCAGGAAGTCACTCAAGGACATCAATTCTCTAAGGTTGTTTCATCACCTTAAACTGCTCTGGAGCCCTTCATGCAGTGTTTCAGATACCAAGCTCTGTTCAGAGAGCTGTGACAGGCAGTCAAAGAGACTGTGCTCAGACATTAGGGCAGCACTTCTGACAGTGGCCTACCCCCAGCAGCAGTCAGTGAATCAGCATGTGCTGGAACCATGACTGCTCAGACCCCTCCATCCTCAGAGACCTCTGAAGAGCTAAACCATGGTGGAAAGGAGACAGCTGCACCAGCCACGACAGGAAAGTGCCTCTGTAGGAACCTACAGTTTAGCCTGAGGCTTAAATTTAGTAACACTTGTTTTCCTTTGGCTCCATGGAGCCACCCTGTCTCCAGGGGGAAAGCAGGCCTGTCCTGACACTGATCCTCAGCACAGGAGCTGTGGGGTGCAGGGGTGCAGGAATCCAGTGAAAACTACACCCCAGCCTTGCCCAGTCCAAGCGGATTACAGGCCTTACATATCTTTAAAAGCTATTTTCATAAGGGTTGCCTGTGAACTGTCCCACTCAGGACCTCATGCTGGGTGACAGCTGTAAGAGGTCAGGCCTGCAGAGCCCAGCCCTTGTGTCTGCATGGAGTCTAAACAGAGCAGTGTGTAAACTGTCAGAGAGCACACAACTGGAGGACTTCAAAATCATTCCAAAGAGGGTTTTTTTTAATCCTCAGGCAGTCACAGTGAAACTGTTCACAACAGAGCATGAAGAGTGCACACGTTATCCAAGATACCTGGAGGAGAGTGCTGGGAAACGACCAAGCCACAGTCAGGCTGCAACAGGGCAGAAGGTGAAAGCTGAGATGCAGATCTATCGATCTTTACAAGATAAGCCCAGGAGAACAAACAAAGCAAGGTCAGTTAGGGTGCCTGAGAGCAGATTATGGCATGGTCTGGGAGGTGGGAAAAACCCCAAGGGTTCACTTACAGCCTTTTTGTATATAAATAGGAGAAGAGTATCAGCACAAAAATAGACAAGGCAGCGCGACAGGAGCGCAATGCAGAGTCCTGGGACAGCAGCACAGAAGTGACTGCACTGAAATCCCAGCACGGTGCGGGGCAGAAGGGACCTCTGGAGATCTCCTCATCCAAACCCCCCTGCTCCAGCAGCTCACCCCCAGCAGGGTGGCCAGGATGGCATCCCAGTGGATCTGGAATCTCTCTAGAGGAGACTCCACAGCCTCTCTGGGCAGCTGCTCCAGGCCACGGCG